TTTTCTAGAGGATCCATAGATTGAGTCCTTATAAACCCTAAACTAGCTCCTCCTGTATTTAGGAGAGGGGAGGGAGTATAAATCCACTTTTAGCTTTGTATCAAATCACAAGTGCTTGTTTGGCAAGCTCCTATATAATCAATAAGCCATAGGTTTTCTTATAATATGGAAATTATAATACTGCACAAATCCAGCAGAAGAAAATAAACAGAGGTTGGACGTACAGAAGATACCTTGTTGTCTGTAGCTATGTCGCTCTTCTCGCCGTCAGTCACCGTGCCACGTCGGGGGAGCCTGAGGGAGTAATATATGCAGGGAATGTCCCGATGTGAGAATGGATTGTTCAATTAAATATATATATATATATATATATATTCATAACAAAGAAACATAAAAATTCAATAACGTGCATCTATCTTTGTATTTGTGAAAATAGATAATCAAAATAACCGAACAGGATTTCTTCGGATATATAAATATCACTAAAAATATAGCAAAGAAATATTTAAAAAATAGTTTATCCGAAGGTAGATAATTTTGTTGTGCTGCTTGGTTGGCGTGTACATAGTTTTAGTCTTATTAAATAATACACTAGGCTTAGAAATAATAGAATAGAATAAGGATTTATAATTGAATTAGCTTTCAAATAATAAATATTAAAAAATAATTATATGAAGTAATTATGTTCTAAAATCTGTAATATATCTAATAGAATATCTATTAGTATTCTACAATATCTAAATAATTTATCTCAATTAGATTTTAAATTTCAAACTCCCTCATCTTTTTCACTATTATTCCGTGTTAATTAATTAACTAATTCGTTTTCTTATTACTCCTTAGTATTATCCCGAACGATCTTCTAGCGCAGGAACATCTATGGGTATTCAGAAATTTTTGTTGGATTAATTAATATTATTATAAAGCGTTAAAAAAGGAGCAATATTATAATCTCTGTAACCTTTAAAAAAATACCATTGACTATTGGAAAAGAAAAACTACCGTTGACTGTTAATATTTTCAATAGTTAAGACGATATTTTTTTTTAAAACACTTTTGGAGCAATATTATGTTAATCCAGTAAAAAATTTTGATGCAAAATTACACTTTAACCCTCACACACATTTATATGTATTCTATTGATAAGAACAGAATGGCCATTCATTATTTTTATATCTGTTATAAACATGTTTAGTTGATGTCCATGAGATTTTCATATGTGCATTACTCTTAATGCCACCACTTCAAATCTTACAAGTTGATCTGGTGCCGGTTTCATAGTGTGTTGCTTTGAGGTATATACATTTTAATTTATCTCATTTGGTATTTCTAAACAAAGGAAGTACTGGTGAATTGACCATATTAAGGAATGGAGATAAGTAATTCTAATATTTTTAAGGACATCTTTTGGGGACAAATTTAATTGCTCTTAAGAAATTTTTAAATGTCTTGCATATTGAAACTTGATGAAGATCAAATCCAGATTTCTCTATCTAGTATCCACATAAGGACTTTGTTCATAGGTAATTGTTAAATATTTATACATATGAAATTTAATTTTCTTCAGCTGTTTATAATAATATCGTCACTTATCTATGTTTAATTGGGAAGGTGTGACTTGAATCCAAACAAGGAATAGAGATAGAGATAGTGATAGGATAAAAATTAAAAATTTAAATATTTGAAGACTTTGGCTATGGGTAAGTCACTTAAAACACTATATATGCTCTTTGTGAAAAAAGTTGTGCGTAACTTACTTTTTCTTCAACACAATTTGTTATTTATTCCAATCATAAATAAAAACACAAACGAAAAAACTTGTTTAGGAAAAGTTCAATCCGATATTTACAGTCATCATAGCAAAATTTTATTTAAATAATTTGAAAGGCCATATAGTTTCACATACTTAATTTTTAATTTGGTCATTATTAGAGCTGGTAATATGGGTTGCACTCGTGAGTCCAACCTACCAACCCACAAAAAATGACAGGTTAGGGTTGGCTAAAAGTCAACCCGTCAATAAACAACGTTTTTTAACCTGCACCGCTTAACTAACAACCCACCGTGGGTTAGCCTGCCAACCAGCAGGCTAACCGGCATTTATTTTTTTTATTTTTTAAATTTTATTAATCATTATATGTATATTATTATATTACATATTCTATCTAAAAAATTAAAAAAATACCTATATTATTTATTTATTTGGTGTTTTTAATTAAGTATTTAAAGAAAAGATAAAAATTTTATTATATTTTTATATTGTATAAGAAAAAATATTTTTAAAAAAATAAAAAAATTTTAAAAAAAATTGGTGAGCCAATCCATTAACTCATCATGGGGAGTTAGAGTTGGCTAAAAGCTAACCTGCCATTATATGATACCTCTTTAGCCTACACCACCTAACCGTAACCCGCCACGGGTTGGCCCGTATTACCATCTCTAGTCATTATATATAGTTGTTTTATGTTTATCATGTTCTTATAATATTATCTATTTTTAAATAGGCGTCTATAGTTTTTTTTATTAGGTCCTTATAATTTTACTTATTTTTAATCCAGTTTTTGTAGTTTTTTTTTAATCGGTAAGTAACATTTTCAAATCACATAATATAGAATTGTCAACCATGGCTATGACAGAATTTAAGAAAAACATTCAACATGTTCAAGCCAAAATAATTATTCAACTTATGGAAAGCTAACAAACATAACGAAAACATAAACACAACTTAAATGGAAAAATGAATAAAGTTGTTAGTGAGATTTTTATTTTTCATTTTATCAGTCATCTAAAACTATCAGGGTAAAATTATGAAGACATGATAAAAAGAAAAGAAAAACTATAGAGACCTAATTAAAATTTAATTGAAACTATAGGGACTTATATATACGTTATCCCAATTGAAAAAAACAACTCATCAGAATTTGAGCACGTAGAAATAATGGGATGTTCACCCCTAAATTCCCAACAAAATCTAAATTAGGATTCATTCATATCACCACCCTTTTTTTCAGCTCCCATTACACATGCAAGCGCCTCTTTCTGCATCAATGATATTGGAATCTGACTCTGAAATTCCTGGCATGACTAAGAAGAGCTTCTCATGATAACACCTGCAATCAATCAAAACACAATATGTTGGAAATCAAAGTTCAACTGTACAGTACCCCCGGTATTTAATACAAGAACTAGTTTATCATTTAATTTTGTCCTAACTAAATATAATACCTCAATCCACTTTATATCTCATAATTATCTATTTATTCCCGAGGTAGCCCTTATAGTGGTTGTACGTATTAAAGTTTTTATCGAATGCTGTAGTTCTAACTAATATATATTATTAGCAAAAATATTTTAGGGAAGATAACATTTATTTATTACAAATAATTAATTTAATTAGTTTTTTAAATCTATTTAAATTAGTTCACTATGACTATTTGGTTAAGGTGAGACTACTTACTATTTGCTGCTCATTTCTCAGATTTTTCATATATGAAATATTTTGTCCCAGCTCCGCATGAACGAAGGGTCTTAGAATAAGGAATGAAGCTTAAAAATCGGTCAAATTAATGTGTGCTCAGCAATCTTTTCAAGTCTCTCTCTCTCTCTCTCGTACCAATCAAATCGTACTTATATACATCCTTAGTATTTGTAACAAACACTAAATAATCTGCATTCGTTATCGTAAACTCATCAATGTCGCCAGAATCATCCTTCATTCCTATTTCTTCAAATCTTAATAAAAACTTTGACCAGGAAGACGATTCAAAATCTGTCAAAACCCATATAGTAATATTAAACTAACCTAATAATCTCATCGCCGCACAAATAGACTCATTTGAGCACCCAGCCTTACCCCACTTGAAAATACATATGTAGTCCCAAATGAAGGGTCGTATATCACTACAAAAAAAAAAAAAAAGACTTTTAGCCACGACTTTCAAATGTCACCACTGAAAATCCTACTTTCAACGGCGACTATATGTGTTGCTACTGAAAGGGTACTTTTAGCAGCGACTTCTTAGAATAGCTATTGAAAATCAATTTTTTAAAAATGAGAGTTTCAGCGATGACTCATTTTATCACTGCTGATGAGTTTCAGCGACAGTTGCTACGGCAATGATTGGTTGTCACCACTGAAAGGTAATTTTTTTCAGTAGTGTGTTTCACAATTTCTTTTGGAAAATTTGACAGGACAAAGAGCTCCATGAAAGTGGGTTCAACCATACTTTGAGATTTGAGTTCCAATTCACAATTTCTTTTGGAAAATTTTGTCAATAATCCTTGACTAATTTAGCAGCAGAAATTTTCCGTCACTAAATTCCGTTCCTAATGTTAGTGATGGAATTTGTGAGAGATTAACAACGAAATTATTCCGTTACTAATATCCTTTTTTTTTTGTAGTATTCTACTCCTTCACTTTTCAAAGGAGGGGTATGATAATTACTTTTCATCCTCGAAGCCACTTTCTTCATCATTTCTTACTTTCATTTCATTCTGTCCCCCAAACAGAGCATAAACTAAGCCTTCTATATCAATAAAAAAAATAAATATTCACATATCCTGGACATTTTAGGTTCATCTAATATGCCGATGAAATTAAACCGTGGACTGTTGTTAATTTTACCTTCTCAGAGGATACGTGAATATTGCATCACTGCCACACTCCATGGACTCACAAAAACCACAAAAAGTTGTTCATACGAGAAGCTATTATTTTGGACTATTATTCTGGACCATGTCACCTACAAATATTACTAACTATTATAACAGGACCTTTGATGATTTAAATTCCAATGGAGCGGTATTGAGGTGCTTAACTCCATTTCAATTTAAAATCTTGTCACATGAATCCAGTTTTTGTTCATCTTTATTTATGCGGTTCCATTTGGAGATATCACATTTCATCTTCTATAACTCTCTTGTTAGTAACATTTCTCTTTCTATCAAAAGTAGAATAAAATATCGGTTGGTACCTTTCATCAGGCCCTACGATGCCAAAATGGGATGAATCTATGCTCATCAGATAAAGGGGTTAGTATTTGACTTCTATCAAATATATGACACTGAACATAAATGACCATCTACACCTCACTATCAGTTAACCTAACTATTGCAGAGGGTTCCTTGAATTGAGTTGTTTGGCTCCAATCTCAAGTAACTGTGAGGATCCTTCAGAGGACTGTTCCTGCAATGTAGAAAAAACCGTTATGAATAGTCTGGGGGATAGAAAAGTACACAGCAGCAATTTCAGAGCTAACTCAAGTACCACATTTTGCAAGCCATCTTGAACATCAAAACAACTTGGGTTAGTTTGTTGTCTGAAATGTAACTCCGCCTACAAACATAAAAATCAGCAGCAGGATGTCATCACTAAAATGCCTGAGAGTGATTATAATGATACACAGCAAGAATAGCTAGCAACACCCTAGCTTTGCATATATTCAAGAGTTGTAAGACGCAATGCAAGGGATATTACCAGGTAACGTCATAGAATAATAATGAACTGAGCGTACTTAGAATCAAAGTTTGATGAGGTATTGAAAAAAGACAAGCCATTGGAGAATTTCAAATAAATATTTTCTCCTCTTTTCAGTTCTCAGTATTAAAAAAGTTTATATTAAAAGTAATCCCAATCCTAATCCTCGGAAAATATGCTAGAATAACATACCATCCCATTCATCCCTTGTGGAGTGATGTAGTGGGCATCATGGATATGAGTGATTGAGTTCAATTGTCCCTGCAACACGGATCAACCCAAATTCAACTGTCGAATCCCAAAAAAAAAAAAAACAGAATATAGAAAACACACTAAACATCAACCAAATCTGCATTACTAGGCCTTGGATGTTATGGTTGCTGAAAAAATCAATACGGTTGGTAGCCACTTTGTTCAATTGTCCCTAAAACATGACACCAGAGAGCTGTTAGGGTATTCAATATTATCAAGTGCACAACATATGGATGTTTAAAGTAGAAATGAATTTCTTGATCCCCAGTTGTAGAGGACTTCTTACCATCCCCGAAACAATTTGTTGAGAGGCATAATAGGCGTCCAAGTTGTGAGATTTGAGTTCAGCTGATCCTGAAATAAAATTAACAAAAGGAGTCCAAATTTCAAACGCTATGAAGCTCCAGTGGTTTGGAAAATAGTCACACCATAATACCATGCTTACTACAAGTGCATCTATTAACAATGAGACTATGCCGTACCGTTTCTTGAATGCTCTGCTGTGATTCATAAGAACAATCAAGGCCTGCTGCTCTTGTAGAATTGGCCTATAAAGAACACAGTTCATAAAAAATCCAACTAACTAGCTGTTCAACTCAATTTTTTTTGGGGGGGGGGAGCATTGCTACAGTAATATAACAGAATAATCAGATTTTTCTTTTATATAAACAATGAACCAACCATTTGCTGCCAGCTGCTGTCAACCCCGATGGCAATGATCTTTGGCTCTGGAAGTACCTATTAAAACATAATATTGGTGGAAAAAAGTAGTCAATTTAATACAACCAAAAATAAATAAAAAAAAAAATAAAATGAGTACAATGAATGAATGAGTTCTAACTAACCTGTCTTTTCTTCAAAGAATTGTCCTTCCTACTCATATTACAAGCAGAGTTACTCATATTCACATGATTAGAACCAAGAGTCGGTAACATTGGTTCCATGACACGCTTAGTTGAGTTATTCATGTTCTCACACTTTCTCAAAGCTTCTTCTAATGCATTTACAGCAGTAGTGTAACTTGCTTATGATAAAGACCCTTTATCACCCAATTTAAATGCTTGTTGATAGAGATTAGTAAAGCATTTGCTCCTAGAGTCCACCACATCTGACAACTCTCTTGCTATTTGTCTATTCTTTGCTTCTTTTGTCCATCGTTTTAGTATATACTGAGATGGGATATGATGCACACCAGAAATTTGTAGAACAATCATTACATGCCTAAAAAGAAAACCATTGAATTCAAAGAAATGGCATAAACAAGATGTATCGGACGTTATATTGTTCCACGAGACAATAAATTGTCAATTATCTTCAAAATCTTGAACCCTAAACATCTTTGTTGGTCCATTTTCACTTTCCATTTTTGGATGGCAAGCGACAGCTCCCAAGACCTCACTCTGGAATTTCTTAAATATTGTTCGTGTGTGCAATGGTACCATTTGTTTCTCAAAAGGTGAGGGGGATTTTAATGCCGGTTGTTTATGGAAAGTTTCAAAATCAGCTTTTGCTTTGTCTTCACATTTCCCTCGTAATATCACTTTGTGTTGCTCTATAAACTCTCAGCGTAGTTTTCCTCTGCACATGCTTGTCTAACAAACAGTTTATAACTTCTGATCGTTGCCTTGTAGACATTCCTGCTAAGAACAAATCACCCATATAAGTAGGTATCTAGTGTTTACGATCCTCATAAATTGAGCATAACCAATTATCATCATTTAAACTGAATCTCCTAATCATTTTCCACCATTGCTTCTCAAATTGTTCATTTGTCCAAGACATATAAACACACATTTGTTAAATTTAGTCATAAAATTTGCGTGCTGCCATGTTACATGACTTAGCTTTTCTGGAATTTTGCTCAGGATATGCCACAAACAAAAACAATGATGAACCCCTAGAAGCACTTCAGCAACAGCTTCTTTTAGAGCTATGTCTTGGTTCGTAAGTATTACCTTTGGAGCACATCCGCCCATTGCCCTCAACCATGTCTGTAGCAGCCATGTATAAGTTGATTTAGACTCATCAGACACAATTGCACATCCCAGCAACAGGAACTGATAGTGGTGGTTCACACCAATAAAGGGAATAACAGGAAGCTTATATTCATTCTTGATATGTGTGGTGTCAAGAAGAATCACATCACCAAAGTGTCTATAATCAAGCCTACTTTTTGCATCAACCCAGAAAACACTTCTCAATTGCTGCTCTTCATTTAGATCTCCAGCATAAAAGAAATTAGGATTCTCATCTTGCATGCACATAAAATGGTCAAGCAAAGCATGGATATTTGCTTCATCTAAAGCCAGATGCTGTCTGTTGCCTGAATGGTTTCCCCTGCTACCTTTTCTATTGTCAGCCTTCATCTTTTTGGTTCTAGCCCTGGTAATCTGTAATGCATCACCGTTGCTACTTCTTAGATCTAGATTCCCATTTCCCCTAAAGTAATATGCTTGATCAGGAAAAATTTCATGGTCATGTTCTTTTATGAAACTACAGATGATCCATTGATCGTCTTGCCTTCTCTTCACATGCATGCAGGCCTTGCAATCTGTCTTTGCCCAAGATAAGTTCACTCTACCCCGTTTCCTTTTTACAGGAATACTTGGCATCTTATCTATATTTGAAAGAGAATTTGAAGTTTCAGTTGCACAGGGTTCTTGCTTGTTTCCATATCTGGTACGTGCAAACTTTGCATCATTAAATTTTCCAGATATTTGAGACCGACGGCTAGCTTTTATTATAGCAGTAAATCCCACTGATTTTGCATAGTCTTTATAATATGAAAATGCTTCCTCCTTTGAATCAAATTCCATCCCATCATGGGGCTCTGGTAATTTTGAAGAATTCAAGTTGGTTCCTTGTCCAGTGCACCCTTCATTTCCAAAATTTGCTAATTCAGCATTGATACCAAGCCCTGCATTCCCCTTATCATTTCCAACAACTTTTAAAGAACTTCTGGGTTCATTACTATTGTTTACACCATCCGCTCCATCAACCAAATCAGCAACAATAGGATTACAGCTGTCTTCATCATGACATTCTCCTGATGGCTGCTTAAGGTCTATCCCCATACAAAAAATTTGAACTTTTCTTTTAACTTGTAGAAACCTGTCTACTACATCTGAACCTGTGAAAATAGAAGCAGAGAGTTAAACACTGTTAGATAAAACAAAAGGGAAGAATTATAGTCTACACAATAAAGTTTCATCAAACATAATTCACAGAATGATCAAATTAATGGACTATTTAAAAGTCTGGCAGGGATACCTCTATCTTCTTCATGCATAGGATCATTGACAGGGTAGATTCTAGCTAAATCCATCAATATCAACCTCCATCATATCCTAATAGATGGGGCAACCACTGTTAGAAAATAGGCCATTGACAAAAAAAGGATAATATATTGTATGCCACAGACAGATCAGCCAGGATCTTAATGCAGACAGAAACAGGTCTGCCAGAATTCTACATTGATACATCTGCAAATAGCTTAAATGACACCCACATCGGTCTTTAAGAATGTCATGAGCTAGATATTAAGGATTCGATCCTATTCAAAATTTATGCCTCTTTCCCCAATCCTTCCTCCCAAGCCCCAGGCATCCTTTGCAACAAATACCAAAGTAAACCAGAGGCTTATTCCAGATGGTAATACAGAATAAGAAAAACAAATAAATTCATTCACAAAAAAAAAAAGCAAATGAAAAAGATGTTCATAAAAACAGTTGTGAATGAAGGGGTTGTTCAGCAACAAGCCAACAACAACACATGCTCGCAGATGAAAAATCTCAGCTTGCCATTATAATCAAGAAATTTTCATACTTGAAGAATCAGCTTTTAAAATAACACTCCATAGCTTCTATACTGAGCTTGATAACCAGCCAAACTTCGCATATTTTTTATGCCACAGGTAACCATCCAAACTTCTAATTGCTGATCCAGTACAAGAACAGAGCCCATATCAAGCGCAGTAAACACTCTTTTCAGTCCATTTTTCCTCCCAATCTGCTAAGTTCACAATTGCTAAACAGCAAAAAGTCTTTCACTTAAACTGCAAAAATAACTTTGGGTATGCATGTACAAGCTCCGGAATAAAAATACAAACACCATCTTCTAATCAACCAAAAGTGAAATCACAAGCTGAATCATCCATACTAACTTATTCGTCCATGGACTAAAAATTGTTTACGAAATTTAACTAAATAAATAAAAAAGTATGCATTCAAAAACCACATCAAACCCAAATTTAACTCAATGAAGCCATGTCCTTAATAAAAATCATCAATATAATCCTTAAACGCAAACTAATTACCAAGGCGTTCAGTGATCCTTCGACAGGCTTCATAGAAACGGTACTTCCAACCGCAAACTCGAACAAAATCCGCTGATTCTGGGGCTCGAAGAAATAAGTGAGGGTGACATAAGAAGATTGCGGAAGCAACCTTGAAGTAAGGTATGGGCAGCGACAAAGTTCGATCACAAGTTTCTTTCTTTGTTGTTTGTAACTTTATATCAGTTGGTTCTTTGGAGAAAAGAAAGAAAGCAGCTTGGATTCTGCAATGCCAGTGACATAGATGGATTTCGATCCCTCTGCTCTTCTTTTGTTGTTCTATTTTTTTTTCCTCTTCCTTTCTTTGAAATTTGTTTTCTTTGTCTTTCCTTTCCTCTTCTTTTCTTTTCTTTTCTGTTCATTTTCTTTGCCAGCCTTGTTTTTCAATAAAAATCCACTTGGAACTAAAATACTCTCAAATGCAATAATTTAAAGAGGAACTAAGCTGATTATATAGATATGAATGTTTTGCCATGAAAGCCAAAAAAAAAAAAAAACAAAATTAGAACACATACGTAACCCCATTCCTAAATGATAAAAATTAAAAAGAGAAATCTTTTTTTAAATATTTTTTTATTGGAAAAAAAACTTCATGCAATTCAACTTTTATTGTGTGCAATTTTACTTTCTTTATATGCAATTCCATCACCCTTTGCATAGTATAATCATCTTTCTGTATAACTCATCTTCCTTTTATATAACTGAACTTTTTTTGTGTTTAAGTCATCTAATATGCAAATTAAACTCTTATATCCAAATAATGTTTTATATAAATCATTTTTTTTATGTAATTTAACTTTCTTTTCGTGCACTTTATCTTCTTTTGTGCAATTTATTATCCTACTGATCATATGCTGATTAAGTTTGTAGTGAGGGATTTATTCTCAATTTTTCATTTTTTTATCAGAACAGGTAAGAAACAATAAAATTACTCGCTCTTGCTTTGATGAAACTAATCATGCAATTGGGTGTCCTGGCCTTAAAAAAAAAAAAAAAAAGGAATAATGCAGTGGGGTGTCTATTGGTCCGCCTGGCTCTCTTATAGCGTTGAAGGTAGAGAAGTCGGAGGGAAACAATGAAAATGAAGTTTTGCACTTATTGTTAAAGAAATGAAGTTAGATGAAAATTAGATTAGTTTAGCATTCTCATCATTATTGGCAAAAGAAGCATTGTCATCACGTAAACCCCAAATTCACATTCCAAAAGAAATGCTCAAACCCACGTTTGTATAATCATAACAACTTGACAGAAAAACTAATATTAATAATAGATGAAATTTACTATTAGTTTACGCTTTACAGATTACTTCAATATATATATATATATATATATTGAAATCTTCCTATAAAATTTGTGTAAGTGGTAAGGGTGGGATGAGATGGGGATAAAGGTCAAAGATTCAAACCTGATATGCGAAAAGAAAAATATTGGTATTAATAAAATATTTAGAAATGAAAAGAAAAATATTGGTATTGAATAAAATATTTAGAAACCAGCGGGACTAGATTAAAAATTGAGGAGAATTACATGAACTCATTCCTTTTTCTATACTTTTTATCACTTGATTGAATGTTTAAAAACTTCACTAGCCTATATAAGGATTTTTTTCCCCCTTTGATAAAACCCTATAACTCTTTGGTAAGAAAAAACTAAAAAGAAAATCCCATAACTCTGTAGTGTATGGCAAAGGCCCCAAAGCCCATTTTTCATCCTACAGGTTTCCCAAAAGATCATAAAACCATTGATCTTAGTAACTAACATCATCTTCTTTGAATATAGCATAACCTGAATACCCAAAAAGAAAATAGAAATCTTCCTCTTTATATCTATATATACAGATTATGTACACAAAACTCAATATATCGAATTGTGAATGTCTAAGTTTACACTTTCTGTTATCAATCATTCATCAGGTTTTTCTTCACATCCCTATGCTGTTGTACAACCAAAACTGAGCCATGAATGGCCAATTCTGAAGAAGCCAAGACATCACCAACTGTTCCAAGTTCTGGACACTCCTCCCAGTCACTCATACCAATTGTCAGTGAACAATGTCCTCTTCCACCCTTTCCTACTATGAACAAAGAATACATATCCCCTATTTCTTTGAAAACTTGAACTGTTTGTGCTCCATTGCTCACAAACTTCTCCACATATCCGATCTGACCTGACGCCACAAAGCGGTTGTAGAAATCAACCATAAAGGTATTATCAATCTCATTCACTGTTTCTTGCCCTGACAATGACATGAGAATTTCTTTGTCTTCTGATTCTTCGGTGGATGTCTCACTTTGTGGCATAGAGGCGAGTAGGAACCTGATGATGGTCAAGTTGATTTTAGAGTGTTGCGCCATGCGTATGCTCCAAGCAATGGCCTCACGATCATCTGAACCTCCAAAGAAAAGTGTTGCAACATTTTGTATGCCTTCAGAGGCAGTTAGTTGTGAAAAGCCAGGAACTCTACTCAGTCCTCTTTCTACAATGACACCAACTGAACAAGGGGCATGTCTGAGAACCTTCTGATTTGTAGTCCTTATGCCTTCCTTCCCACTTTCCAATTTTCCATCAATACGTTGGTGTTTGTGAAAAGGAAGCAAAATAATTGTTACGTGTAAGTCCTCTGCATCATTGCAGACATCCTCATACAAACTTGGGAAAGCAGATACTGCCTTTCTTTGGTGGATCAAAATCTTTGTCTGAGTAGTAAAGTTGTCAATAGCTTCATTAATTTCCACCACATCATTGCCACCATAGTCGTCATCATCACTAAGCTCAGCATTTTCTTTTTGATGGTATAACATATTTGACTTGATCTTCTTTACAAGCTCTATTAGGTGCATTGAGTAAATGGTAGCCGGTGATGTTCTGGAGCCATTTATTGCTAAAACCAATGCTAGTACAGCAGATACTTGACGAGGATCATACATGCAGGCTAGAATTCGAAGCTCATCCTCCACTTGTTGTGATTCAAGAGTTGTATGTTGGTTTGCAAACATTTTATCATCCGCTCTGGTCAGAGAAGCAACAATTATTCCTGATATAATTGTGTTAAGCACTACTGCTACTAACAACACATTGTAAGCTTCTGCAGAAAAACTCTGCAGATTAAAAGGAAAAAAGAGGCAATGAATCAGTACAAAAAGTTGAGGTTTGAACTGTGAATGAATTGAAGTCAAGACATAAACTTACAATTATTCCCTTGGCAGCTGCCCCAAAAAATAAAAGATCAGCATAGCCTCTGGTGTTCAATATGAAGCCAAGAAAAATACCTTCACTTGGAGGAATTTGAAGGTAACGACAAGCCAGAAGAGTGCCACTAAGCTTACTTGCAATGCTCAGTAAGATCAATATGGCAACATTGGTTACATCATTCAGGTTTCTCAAGGCAATGAGGTTACACTGAAAGCCTAAGTAGCCAAAGTACACTGGAAGTATAAAGTTGTAAATAGAATAACCTAGTTTATGTATCAATGTTCTGGCTGTTTTACCTTCCCTGGGAAACATCAAGCCAACTAAAAAGCAACTAATTATACTATTGAAACCCCAAATTTCTATAATCATTGAGTTCCCTACAAGAAGGAATAGGATGAGTAATAGTTGAGGAGCCTTTAGGTACTTTTGGTTTACATGTCTTTTATTTAGCCACAAGGCTAAATGCTTGTTTATTAGAATCAACACCCCAGTAATTACAAGGCAACCTAATCCACCCAGAATACTTTTTGTATGCCAGTTAACTAACAGATTGAAAAATAACAAGCAAGTCATTTCTGTGATTAGTGCAGAAGAAACCGCGATTCGCCCCATGTTCGATGCAATCAATCTCATTTCTGATGCCAAACGAATCACCAAGGGAGAGCTTGTGTATGATACGATAAGCATAATGATCAGGCAGAAGTATGGCAAAGGGGCATTGTTTGTTAACTGCCTGTACAGATAAAAGGACACTCCTAAACCAAAAATTCCACCTACTGCTGCACCTCCACAGGCTACCAAACTGACTAGACGTAGGTTGAGCAACATGTATTGAGTATTCATCTCTAATCCAAACAAGAAGGTGATGAAGATTCTGCAGAAGAAGCTCACAACTTCATAGTAATTTGTAGAACTCTGAAGGAAAAAATATTCTTGTATTTGCTTAACATGAGATAATGCCGTTGGCCCTAGTACCACTCCAGCCTGTTCAACAATAACACAACCACAATTTCATCATCATCAATGAACTTGAATCTCTCCATTTCAATTTGATAGAGTTCTTTTTTCAGACAGTGATAAAGACCCCCACCAACGTGAGTGGGTCAAACACTAAAAACTACACAGTAATTGACGCTATCAAATTTTTAATGAAATGATTCAAATCCATTATCGTCCATGATTGAGTGAAAAACCCCAAAATTAAAAAGTTCCGATTGAGGAAAAAGACGAAGTTACCAAAATTTGCGCAATGGGTCCGGGCTGACCGAATGTCTTAAGCACAACGTTGAAAAAGTGTGAGATGACGAGAATGCAGGAGACTTGCATGCCCATTGAGCTCAGAGGGTTGATCAAATCGTTTTGACGACAAAACATGCTGTGTGTGGCGTCCATTTTCGCGTCAATTCTATGTCAGAAACCCAGAAATTTGGAGAAATCAAGTTGAATGAGAGAGAAAGTTATTGTTTTTGTTGGAACAAGTTGATTATGGGAATGGCATTGTCTCTTTGTTTCAGATCCTATATTTTTGGAAGAAGACGCTTATTTGACATAACACATACGCCTCGTTTACTTGTTCTCCCTTCACTTTAGCAAATGGTAACAATAATAATTAATCATTAATCAGTTAAATAAACTTACAAATGAAATAATTAAATACGTTTTGTGAAACGTTAAGTCTGCCCGTATTATTAACTTTCTTAAATGTTGTACATTGAACAAAAATTTGGTCAAATTAATTCTATTTATAAGGTCAGATTCTCTAATTATTATGTTGTAATTAGTTGTTAAAATACATATGTGCATTTGCAAATTTACTTATGAACACTTTTAAATTTTTGTATAAGTTTTTATAATGTAAATTATGATTTGTAAATTTTCGTATAAATACTTGTTTTCTTGCTACTAGTAGTTCTTATTTCTTAAAACACATATATCTATTTGTAAATGAATATAAACAACTTGATTTAAATTGTGCAATTTATTATTTTATAAATATATTTTGTTAATATTAACTAAACACATGTTAAATTTGACTAAGTCAAGAAAAGAAAACCTTTTAATAGGCCCTCACATAAATTAAATAGCTTTTGAGTAATCTTTAATCAAACATATTAGTAATTGAATGATGATAATTATTAGTGTCTAATTAATTACTAGCTTCAATCCTTAATATAAAATTTAATTGGAATTAAATTTGATCATAAATATAAAATCTTAACCTATTTTTTCAAAATATCCTTATTAATTATAAAGGATTCTCATCAAAAGATAATTACAATCATCTAATGTAATAACTTAAAAAAAGTAATATATATTTGTGACAAATAATCAATTTAACTAATTTATTTAATATTATTAAATTAGTTATTTAACTTTTTTAACCACTGGAGGCACCATTTGTTTTGATGACCAACTATGAAAACATTTGATCAAATTTGAATGCTGTGACATGGAGAAAAGCCACTCAGGGTGGTTGTGACGGGTGATAAAGCTGAGGGTTTCACATGACTTTCGATGAGGTCCCACGATTAGAGCCAATGTGTAGTCTCAAGTTGGCTTGAAAATGACTTTGTTCCTAAAAATCAAAATAATATAATTAAACATAATAATCAAGCCACTCATCGGTATCAATGTGTTTCTATCACTTATGTTCAATGTTATTGATATTAATAATTAATTATAACAATAATCAAGCTCTACTTCATTCATATTAGATAGACAATTAATCTATATGTAAAAGCTAAATACTCAAAAATAACAAATAGTGAATCAAACAGTTAAATTTAAGGATCCGTTTGGTGTGAAAGAAATAGAAGAAAAGAGAAAAGAAGAAAAATTTCTGAGTTTAATTTTTAAAAAAAACTTGAAGAAATAGGGCTAAAAGTTTTTTTATTAAATTTTCTTGCTCTTTTATTTTACATCTCATTTTTATTAAGATTTTATAACACAGCGAATAAGAAATGTGGAGTTCGAGATTAATTCAATAAACACGCACAAAGTATGAAAGTAGAAAATTTTGCATGTTGCTCGCTCACTCAAAAAAAATTTAGCATCTTGGCAAATTTATTTACATGGAAAATTACTATGAAGTTTTAAAAAAATATAATTACTGAAATGTTCTAATGATAAGTGAACATTAAATATATATTACATTGGCTCTTTAATATAAGATATTAAGATTCAGTTAAACTATTTTAGTGAGATTAAAAAAATTATTCTAAATTATTTAATTATAACATATGCTATATAATTTTTTAATAATATTTATGTGTATCATTAGATTAGATATGAATTTATAAATGGGATAAATAAAAACAATAAATATAAATACTTTAAAGTAATTTGATAACTTTCTTAATCTTTTAAAATTAATTAATTAGGTCTTATATTAAGCACTTGAGGTACTATCTCCGGTTCTTAATATAAGACCCTATTTGACTTTTATTTTGGTTCTAAATATAAGACTCTAATCCACTTTGTCTCTTATATTTGTACATTTTTTTTCAAAGTAGCCCTTCTAACAATGATAGTTCTAGTCAATACACTTGATTAGCAATGATATTTTAGGAAAGACAACACTTATTTAGGACAAATAACTAACTCAACTTACTTTCTTAATCTCCTCAAATTAGTCAACTGACTCTTATAATTAGGACCGGAGGTAGTATTATATATTAGACTGTTCTCTCTAAATCTTGTTGCATATATTATGTTCTTCTCTTAGTTATATTTTTGAGAAAATGAGATATAAAAAAGTTAAAAATTGTAACATTTTAATTCAGATATTTAAGATTTTGAAATTAATAGGAAGGAAGTAGTGCCTGATTTGAGATTTTGAAATTCAAGAAAAATTTTAAAAAAATTGCCTTTGGTATTTTTACCAGGTTATGACAACACTTCCTTCGAAAATAATATATCTTGATTGTGAAATAATAAGTTTTAATTTAAGATTAACAACATATTTTTTCCTGATATATAACATGTGAATCAATTAAAAATAATAATACTCCATATAGAAATAATAAATCTTGATTGTGAAATTACAAATCTTGAGTTGGGATTAACAATTCTTTTTTCTGGTAAAAAAATGGTTTTTTATTATTTTTCTTAAATTTTAAAATCTCGAATCAAAGTATTAAACACCGCTTTCTTTCTAAAATTTTGAAATATTAAATACCTGAACTGGAGCACTGCAATTTTTTAGCTTTTTTACGTATCATTTTACCTGTTATTTTTGCCACATCATAGTTCGTTTAGTTTCATCAAAATACGGCAAGCTTCAACAAGCTTCCTGTGAATCAATCGTCCAGGATGATGCGGCCTGATGGACATTAGCTGTATACGTGTTTACCATTTTTGTTTAGTTTTTTTTTAACCTTTTCTTTATTTCGTTTGTACTATTTAATACCTTGTCTTCATACATTTCGTTGGAATGAAAGTTTTCTTCGTTGGCAACATACACACACATATATAAATTCCTCCATTTTGATCAAAGCCCTTCGAATTTCATGCCACGTTCAGTTTCTGGGCGAGCGCGCAAGTTCTTTCATACAGAAGAGAACTAGTAGCCAACGAGAATCAGTCCGAGAATCAGTTTATAATTTATAAAATTGTAAGTTTAAATTCTATTATTGATATGAAAATTTTTTTAGTAGAAATCAGTTAGCACCTTTATGAGCTTTTCTATAGTTTGGAAGTATGTTGTAGCCTTAATGAGCCCAACTTACTTAAACTTTTTAAACCGAAAAAAAAAATAGGTATGTCTGTGCGGGAAAAAAGTTGGAAAATACTTAGGTCTTTTTTTTGGCCAACGCAAAAACACTTAAGTCAAATTTCTTATGTTTATTATGTTAAAATTTTTAATCACATATGGTCATATGTCCTAATTTATTTTTTGTCTATTGATAATTAAATGTTATTAAATGTTAATATTTCAGAAAACATCACATGGTTATATGTAATTGGAGAATTTGTATGTGAGTTGATAATTATATAGTAATGTTTCAAAAATAATACACATGGTTATATTTGATTAGAGAACTTTACATGATGGATATAAGAAACTTAGATATCAGTTGGTATGAAGCATTGAAATTAGGGATAGAGACTAGCATTACAATTAAAAAAAATTAAAAAAAATCTTTAGTATGAATAATTACTTTTTACATGGGATTAGGCAAATCCATAAAAGTAAGATTAGGAAATACCACTTTTCTTATGACATTCTTTAATACCACATACACGGGTTTATCTAATTATACGTAACAAGCAACCTCTTATACTAAACATTCTTTTAATAGACTTTATCAATCCCTCCCAATTCATATCATTAATTTTTAATACTTCGTACCAATTATAAAGGGAAAAAAAGCTATCATACACTTATTAAAATTTGTTAAAATTAATTTATTATGTTTGAAAATTGATCCCACTTTCCACTTATGCCATTAATTAATGCTCGTTATTTTCATCTTTTCAATTTTTTTTTGGGAAAATGACAGATAAAGAAGGCTGAAATAATAAAATGCCAGAATGGGAAGCTAAGCAAATGTATTACCAGATAGGGAAGTGTTGCCTGATTTGGGATTATGCAAATGTTGCACAATTACGAAACAGCCCCTCATATGCAAACCGAAAAAGTGACCGGTGGAAGTGTGCAAGTTGTGGCGGGAGCTAGAGGAAAAAGTTGGGAGGGACCACGAACGTGGGAGCATGAACGCGCGAAGCAACAACTAAACGACGGAAGCGAGGTTAGTATCCAGTGACTATATTGTTCGCCTGTGTCTTTTGTCCCTCTCCTTTATGCGCCGGTTGATTTTCCTCTTCCCGTTGGATGGCAACGTCGTCGATGTGGGGATGGTTTTGAGGTGGAGAGGGTGGCGAAGCATGGAGACGGCGTGGGTATATAGAAAGTGTGGGGGGAAGGACGGTGATCAGAGGGTGAATGCACGGGGAAGGAAAAACACTGAGGGAGAGGGTTTGATGGCGTCACAAGTGGGTTAGAGTGATTAGTGTCAGATAAATGGACAATGTTGGAGGGAGATTCGAATAATGGAGTGGATTGATTCTGAGAAAATGAAGCATTAGTGTGGACAGGAAAGAAATGATTGTTTTGTTGCAAATTATAAGCATGAATGTGTCAAACCCTAAGTTGGTCGTGTAAGTTGATGATGATGGTATTAAGTCATATAATCATTCGACTTCTGTTATGTTATCAGTGCAGGTAATGAAGATAAATGAATTTCGAAGCTGGGTCATCTTGTGGGAAGGAGCTGTTCTGTTATTTTCATGTGGGGGGGAAATTTGTGACAAATGGTGAAGGTGAAGTGAGATATAATGGAGGTGGCGTGAGGTTAAGAAGCATTAAGGATGGGCTGACACTTGATGAATTGAGGCTAATGATATCTGAGTGGATTGGTGGCGATGGAAGAAATTATGACATTAAGTACACAGTGGCCTTTGATGAGAAGACATTGATTGACCTTCATGACAATGCTGAAATGTATAACCTCTTTCAATACAATGGGAACAGCGGTCATGTGTATGTGGCCGAAAAAAGACAAGTGGGTCCCCAACCAAGGGACAATGTAGAAATGTAAGTGGAAGTTTGTCCTAACTATTTGTTGTCATTTATGAATTTCTTCTTGTCATTTGTGTTAACGAGTCTTGTCATTATGAATGCGAATGCAGAACAGAGAGATTCATGGGCATGTCACAGCAAACGGAACTGGATGCGTCTCCCATTAGTTTGTGTTGTGATTATGGCTGGCTCAGTGAAGAAAATGCTCGTGAATGTGACAATGATGAAATAAGTGGGCCCCTAATGTGGATAAATCTATCGGAGCTGAAGATACGGATGGTAGTGAGATGGTTCATGCGGAATGGAGGGGACTTTTAACAGGAGTGGGCCAACGTTTTCCTAGTGTAGATGTATTTCGGGTGTCTGTATACAAGTTTGCACTTGCAAACAAGTTTGTGGCCAAGTATATGAGGAATAGCAAGGAATTCATGTCGATAAGGTGTAAAGTTGAGGGTTGTCCATGGAAGCTATGTGCAAATCATGTGGGGAAGAGTTGTGATGTGCTACGAGTGACGACATTTATAAACCGGCATGTTCATTCTGCCCAAGATAGCTTGGACGTGATGCATAGTGGAAGAGCTAGTTTGAACTCATCAATAATAATTGATGAGATGAGGGATCATGCAGACAAGCGCACTTCTGAGATAAGGAAGAGGTTGAAACGAGAGTATGGGATTGATCTAACATATAAACAGGCTTATAGAGCAAGAGAGAAGTCACTGGAAGACATATATGGCAGGCCTGAACAATCATACATGCTCATACCATGGCTATGCGAAAGGATAAAGGAAACAGATGAAAAATCAGTGGCTGAATGGACTGCTATTGGGAACCGGTTTGAGCGTGTTTTCATTGCCTACGGGGCATGCATTGAGGGTTTCTTGGGTGGCGCGAGGCATATTATGTATGTTGATGGAACTCACTTAAGCGGACCATACAAGGGGACAATGTTGTCAGCTTCAGCTTATGATGCAGATAACGAGCTGCTGCCATTTGCAATTGCAATTGTGAAGGGAGAAACACTAGATGACTGGACGTGGTTTTTCTATATGATAAAAAAAATCCTGGGTTCTGTGGAAGTAACGATTGTATCAGATCGACACAATGCTATCATCGGAGGAGTGGCATCAATCTTTGGGGGTCAAAGGCATGCCTTTTGTTATAGACACATCAAGGAGAATTTTAGTTCAGAAGTTATGAAAATGAATAAGGGGCAAACAAGGACAAATGGCCGATCAAAGGAGGATGCACTATATTTATTGGATAAAATTGCATACGCAAGGACGGATGAGAAATTTGAGGCAGCAATGGATGACATGAGATCCTTTTCTCCAAGGCTATTTGATTGGCTTATTCATCATGGGGATGTAGATAGGTGGGCTAAAAGTAGGTTCCCATATAAAAGATGGGACAATATTACAACCAATATAGCAGAATCATTCAATGCATGGATGGTGAATGAGAGAAAGCATACTGTACCCCAATTGATCTATGAGCACCGAGATAAAGTTGCAAGAAAGCTGCATGCCTCCTATGTGGGTATGACCAAATGGAAGAATTGCGTTGGTCCAAATATAGAGAGTAAGGTGCTGGATATGGTGGCTGGGTCTGACCATATGTATGCTGAAAATTATGGTGGGGGAAGAGTGAAGGTGACAACATCACGTGGAGACCATCGGGTTGATCTTGGACTACACCAATGCAGTTGCAGATCTTGGCAAATGACGGGGATCCCTTGTTCCCATGCTTGTGCTGCCATCAAGATTGTGCACGGCAATGTTTATGATTATATTGATAATTGCTATAAAAAGTCATCACAAGAAAAGATCTATGCTCGCAGTATGATTCCTGTGGTAACAACAGACATGCCTCACCCAAATGACTACTATAGAATAGAAAATGTCAGTGAGCAAGTTTTCTTGCTACCTCCCATGACATCCCGACCACCAGGAAGGCCAAAAGTAAACAGGGATGAATCACAGTTCCAGAACAAACGGATATACCACTGTGGAAGATGCCACCAGCCTGGACACACAAGGAGGAATTGCAGAAATCCTAACCCATCATGAAGTTTCGAGTACAGTGGGGATGGGTCATTTTTTGGTGTACATAGTTGTATGCTCCGCCCTTGTCAACTTTTTTGGGACTGGGGTTGTAGTTAGGAGCTAGGTGGAGACATTTTTTTGTAAGTAAGCTGATAGAAATTTCAGTGATAACGGAGCATTAAGTGTGGCTAGTATCTTAATGTCCACTTGTTGAATACATGAAAGGAAGTTACTGTTATGGGGATGTTAGCTTTTGTTAATGGCGCATTACTTGTTGTCATTTTTAAATTTGTTCTGGTCATTGGCAGTGATGCTATCAGCATAAGCTGACAGCCGTGTTGAACTGATGTTGTAAAATCAGACCAGGTGATCCTTGTCATTATCGCTGTCATATTCGCTTCACTTCGTGTCATTTTTAAATTTGTTCTGGTCATTGGCAGTGATGCTATCAGCATAAGCTGACAGCCGTGTTGAACTGATGTTGTAAAATCAGACCAGGTGATCCTTGTCATTATCGTTGTCATATTCGCTTCACTTCGTGTCATTTTTAAATTTGTTCTGGTCATTGGCAGTGATGCTATCAGCATAAGCTGACAGCCGTGTTGAACTGATGTTGTAAAATCAGACTAGGTGATCCTTGTCATTATCGCTGTCATGTTCGCTTCACTTCGTGTCATTTTCTGTTGGATACCAATAGGATATATTGAAGTAAAATTTAGTGACCTGAACAAAAAATGAAAACCAATAACACATGTCCAATGGGGTTGTTGTCATCATCTGTTTTTGTGTGGTTAAAACCAGATTCATTCATGTCACTGGGGAATAAATTGGCATCATGGTTCTCAACTATCATACATTTATGGACACCAATCTCTGTTAACCATAACAATACACAGTAAATTTTTGGTCAGCCTACAATGCACATTACATACAGCAATCTAACAGAGGACAAGTGAATTATGACCCTAACATCGAGACACCTAAGACCGACGCCTTTTCTTGGACTTTGTGCTCTTGGTTGGTTGTGGTCGTCGAATAAGGGCCAATGCCTCGTCACGTTTTTCATTCTGTTCATGATTGACCAACCACCATGTCAGGTCACGACGAAAGCCAGCAACTTCTTCCTCTGTGTAGGTAAGGGTCACACCAGGTTCCCATCTTCTCAGCCACATCATGCAGTGCACCCCACAATCCCTCCTGTGGACGCAACAATATCAGCACAGTTAGTTAACACATCTGACATGTGCATTTACCCCACAGAAATCGAATTTGACAAAACTGACAGGTTATTCTGCTGGGGAACTTCTGCAAATATCATGGGAGACATTGGCTTTTTCCCAACCAATCCTGGCTTGACCAAGTCCAGTATAATATTGAGCCTCTTCCTCTGCAACAACATTCAGGACCAACATAGAAAGTTTAATGATTTTCCAAGTTCAAAAACTAGGGTAAAGATAATGAGTTTTTTCTTACACAATCATCCACAGCCATTTCCACTGGGTCTTTGATGACAACCTTCTTCTTCTGCTTTCTGTCCTTGGTTCCGAAATGGTTCCTCATGGAGTCTATTACGTGGAAATCCAATGTGCTAGGCTGAATGGCAACGCAAAACCAGTGTTGGCCAACAAGAGCAGACCAATTATGAAATCACATTCAGCTAAGTTGTAGCCAAGGAACTCAGGAAGAAAGAGCTTCTTATATTTTTGGGCTTTCCAGGTTGGATCATGTGCCATCATGTTCTGCATGACATGAAATTGTTAATCCATTAACAGAGAACAAGTCATTTCCAATTCAATTGCTGTCATTGGTATTTGCATTTGGAATTATGCAACCTCACCATGAAATCAACATCGAAAATGTGCCTCTTCCCTGGCCCCAACTCTGCCTTCATGTCCTCCATCACTGCCTTGCACACCAAATTAAGCACCTACAGAACACAAGTGAAAACGTCATTCTGGTACAATAATCTCACCAAACATTATCAAACATAATCGTGGGTGCAGGGACAGAGCATTCTAAAATACCCTGTTATTTACTCTGTTCACTCCACCCAGGGAAAACAGCTGTTGTCGGTCTATATCTTCATCAAACATTTTGATGACAGTCCTGCAAACATTGTCAGATGTCAGTGACAGAAAGTATGGTGTTGGGGACATCAATACTTGTCATTCCCATGTATGTTATTGTCATTTTCAATCCTATTGCTGTCATTTTCAGGGCACACTGTCATTTAAAAACAAAACACTAGCTACGGATATACTTACATATTCCCCTCTTCCTCTCCCTTGGGTCTACGGGATATTAAAGTGAAAAAGATGTCCCTTTCCTCCTTTGGCCTCTTCGTCCTCGGAGCTGCCTTGAATTCTATCCACGGAGATTTAATTGTGGAACTCTTTGCCCTTGTTGACCTCCTAAGGTCAATCGATTTTTCAGGCCCTCCTTCCTCCCCACTGTCACTGCTCACCCATTCTCGATCCAACAGCAAAGGAACATTGGTAGGGGTCATTGTCAGTACATGTGTAGCTTCCTCACCCTCATCATCTGAATCCCGAACCTCCTTATCATCATCTTCGGCCTCCTCAACCACATAATCATGACTGACTTCCATGTCATCATGGTCATCTTCCTCCTCATCAACCACATGACCTCCTTCCCTGTCATCATGGTCATCTTCCTCCTCATCCTCATCGTCGTCGTCATCACCTCCATGACCATCACGGTCACCCTCTTCTTCCACCTCCTCAACCATGTAATCATCACTGACTTCCCTGTCATGAAGGTCATGTTGTTCTTCATCCTCATCCTCATCCTCATCCTTCTCATCATCTCCTTTGCTGGTTTCATCCTCATCAAGTTCCTCATCTGCACTTCCCGCTGCAACCTCTCTTGCAATCTCCTCCACCACTCGGTCAACATCATCAGCTTCTTCAGCATCGTTACCAGCTGCATCACCAACTGTTTCAACCCCTTCTTTAGCAGTGGCATTCTCATTCCCCATCCCCTTAACTTTGGCGTTCAATCCAATCTGCAGTTTGAGTAGCTCATCATCAAGAGCCTTCATTAACGTCCTCTGGCTTTCTTCAAGCTTCTTCACAAAACGAGCCCTCAACTCCTTCAATGCCTGCATACACAGTAAATGAAGATATCAAAAAAATTGTTCACTGTTATCAAATGCCAGTATCTCACTGGTCATTTCTAAATAAAGTCTTGTCATCTCAAGTATCAACCTTGCTAATAGACTGACTTAAACTCAGGTCACGTATATTTTCTAAGTTCCCACATACCGGATCTAAAGACTGCAAAATTGGACTGTCCTCATGTCCTGCTGAGTATACCTCGCTGCCACTGCTTCCATGCAATATTCCCATGCTGCTGCCTCTCTCTTTCTCCACCCTCTCCTTTATCTTCTCCTCGGTCCAATATTCAATGGCGCTTGTTGAACCCCGGTCAACAGACAATCCCAGCGGGAAACGCTCAACAAAATACAGCTGCAAAACCAAATAAAGATAGGTCACACTTCTGCAACAATAACAAAAGACAAAAATATAGTGAACCATAAGAAAAATATTGACTTACCAGCAGCAAATAAAGACACCCTCCAACATTGCAGGTTCCTTTCTTCTTCTTCTTTGTCATCTTCACAAAGTCTCCCATTTCCTTCCACAGGTTCTTGATTATGTACGTTGACCAATCATATTTCCAAACCCATTCATCGTGTGACGCATCACTTTCAACAAACGTATATGTACAGTTGTGCTTGACCCAGGACATAGAAAAGCTCCAACTGTATAAAGCATAAATAGGAACTCAAAATTGTCGCTTTCTTCCCCAGATAATATCCTCTTCAGTATCTGGGTAAATGGAACCTTCCAATAAGTGTCCTTCAACCTCTTGTATTCCGGGTCATCCTCACTAACATCAGATTTCACTTCCTCCCCACTGTCAGGTACACCTAGAAACTCATGCGCATCTTTTGCCTCAATTGCCTGCCCTTGCCCTCTAATGGTCAAAAAATGCGTTGGTGGGTCATAGCATCTCAACAATGACACAAGTAGATCACGTGGAAGTTGCTTCACATTCACATTAAGCAAGTTCCCAAATCCCATCCTCTGAACTTTCTGCCTCAACCGCCTGTTCTTCTTCACATATTCAGCCAATGATAGAAATCCGGGCAATGAGCACCGGGTGTACAAGGGAACATCATACTTCTTCTTCTCACCTTTCTGTGGCTTCGTTTTCCTTGCCCTCTCATTATACCTATCTTTCTCTTCTTCACTCAGGGCCCTCCATGCCTTCCCCACTTCAATTTTTTCTTCTCTTGCGTTTTTACACTTCTCACCTCGTTTTGCCATATACTCCCTTCTGAACAACACAAGCCCACTATGGACTCCTTTGCTTGTGGACCCTTCCCCTTCTTCCAACACCATCTCGTATAGTTCTGCAAAGTCATCAAGGTACCATCATTAAATCATAATTTTAATACATATACTACACATCTAGTTCTTTCCAGATTCGTTATGGTCATTTCCAATTAATTCATTGTCATTTACAATATGGCCATTACAGAGTGACAGTAAGGATGCTGGTATGAATATGGTCGTTTCCAGTTAACTTATTGTCATTACCAATATGCCCATTACAGACTAACAGTTAGGTCATTACTATGAATATGGTCATTTCCACTTAATTCATTGTCATTACCAACATGGCCATTACAGTCTGACAGTAAGGTCATTACTATAAATATGGTCATTTCAAGTTCCTTCATAGTCATTTACCAGTTTGGTATTGTCATTTCCAGTTTATTCATATAATCTTTCCACTCATTCAGACAGTAAGGTCATTACTATGAATATGGTCATTTTAGGTTCGATCATAGTCATTTACCAGTATGTTATTGTCATTTCCAGTTGTTCATATAATTTTTCCAGTCAATCAGACAATTTTCCTACTGATTTCAAAACCCATTTTTCCAGTTCTCAACTACGTTATTAAAAACAGAATAGCTTGCCACAGCGACTCAGCATAAACCCTTAATCGCCATTCCTGTCATTCACAAACTTCATCGCGTCATATCTAAATATTGCCCAATCATTGCTTCCCAGACTCACCCAGAAACGTCGACCACAGCACGAAACTTAAATGCCTGAACTTACCTCACTGAAATGCTGTTGATGCTTGTTAACTGCAATGGTGAATCACCGTGCGCCAACCTTCGTCTTTCCACACAATCAGTCAGACGCGACCACGTTCGCCCTTCGAACAGCACGCCCTTCCACTTCCAACTCCTCTGCTCTCTTACGCACACACTATTTCGGGGTCCTCAACTGTCCAGCTTGCCGGCGTTTTTAGGGCAACAATGGGGATGGTGGAAGCAAGAAACCGGGAAGCACGACGGTCAGTGCACGAGTGTTCGCGCGCGCCTTCTCTCTCTCCGCTTTCAAACGCTGACTGACAGGGGCTGTTTCGTAATTGTGCAACATTTGCATAATCCCAAATCAGGCAACACTTCCCTATCTGGTAATACATTTGGTTAGCTTCCCATTCTGGCATTTTATTATTTCAGCCTTCTTTATCTGTCATTTTCCCTTTTTTTTTTCATATGAAAACTTGATCATTTATTTATTAAGTGAGTCAAGCCTACTCTTAAAATTCTGTAATATGAAACATAATTAAAAAAGAAAAAAAGACATCATAAACCTTTAAAATTTTCTCTTATAATTATCTTTCTACCTTGAATTAAAATTTATAAAATAGTTAATAAAGTTATATTTTTTCATTAAAAAAAAAAGCTACTGGTATTTAGGTTACCGAGGTTTGTATTTTACGACTCCATGGGGCAGGCCATGGCTAAGTGAAAAAACAAAAGAAGCACCGTTATAAGCAGTTGGAAGCATCCAGAAGAGCAAGGCACGGCACGCGTCGTGCACGTGAACTAGGTTCGTGGTTGGCGCTTACTGGGGCAACCAGAGTACCCGCCCGGCGACGCCTTCACTGACCGCTTCTAAGTTCTCTACTGTATGAGCTCTCTTCTTTTGAATATTGCAACTTCTATCGCTTTCTCTCACTCTCTCTCCTCAAGATTTTTTTTTTTTTAATTTACTCGAGTGAATCTCTCTCATATCGTAACGACTTTTGGGTTTTATTTGTCATCGTCTCTTTCTCTAGAGACATAAAAAGCAGCTGCGAAGATCTCTGTTGCTGGGTCTCAAGTCAGCTTTTACCGAAGGTATTTGTGATTTGATTCTTTCCAACTGTCTGGGAAGTTTAGGGTTTTTGAATCGGCTTCCTGATCGTTATCTTGGCCTTTTTTTTTCCCCTTGAAGAATCAAGCAAGCGAAAAGTGGTCTTGTTTTTCGTTTTCGTTGATTGTGTTGTTGGGTGGAAAAGCGCGTCAAGATTGTTTTTTGAACGGTACCAGAGGAGCCCTGATGTCTACTGTAGTTCAATCGATTTTAGCGGAGGCACAGTGTTGTCTTGATTACTTTTGTATCTATCATCTTCCCTGTTATCAAACTGCTTGAGAAGGGATTTTGGTATTCAAGTTTAAAACTTTTGTGGTTAAGTCCTTTTCACTATATACTTTCTGCTCCTTATGATCTTGCTAGATGGGATAGGGAAGATGTTGACTATCTTGGATAGAATGAATTCATATGAATTGATGAGCTTCTTGTTGACAATCATCGTTGTGTAGTATATTGTGAAAGAATAAATAATCAGACTGCTTTTAGTTTAAGTCAGTAAGAGCTTGTTATTGAGTTGATGACTACTTTCCCGTTTCCATTCACTTGTGTTTCATGGGTTTTATTCTCAACAGGATCGAATAATACTACTCGTTGAGGTTGATACTCGCCTTTGGTTCTGTTCAAATGCCTTCTGCCCTTTCACCTCAGTGGCAAGAGAAGGCCAGTGGTTTCTTTTCTTCCTCAGGTGTCTATGGCTGAATTTATTCCCTCTTTTTCATGTCCATTCTGTGGCGTCTGTTTCTTTGATTGTTCTCAAATGTAATTTTAATGCAGGGGTCAAATTTAAAGAGGCCAGGGAGTCAGCAGGAGCATTTGTGGGTGAGGTCACAAAGGATGCAAAGAGTAACGTTACTGATGTGGCAGAGCGAGTTGGTTCAGTGGTCAAAAGTCGATGGGCAATTCTTCAGCAGCCATCAACAAGACATGCTGTCCAGGACCGATTGATAACAGCTGCCGCTACAACTGGTACATTGTTAAGGAGAAGCTTGTCGGGGACAAAGGATAAGGTGGCAGTTGGGAAAACAAAAGTTGAAGAGGTAATATAGCTCAATAATTGGTTTATGTATTTTGATAATATATCATTATATTTCGTGCAGTAGTCATAATAACTTATGCTTGTTGATAGAACACATGATATCACGTGATACTCATTGACCAATTCAAACATTCCTTCTCTGAAATCTTCATTATTGAAACTGATAATCTGTTTCTGCTTGCTTGAATTAGTCTTGCTGTTGGGAAGATAAATGCTAGGCTAACGTACATATGCTTTTAATATTTTAGGGAAAAGTTTAGGCAAAGTATAACCCCCTGTCTAGCCTATAAAGGTCACGAGACAATTCAAATGGTTAGATTCTTTTCCAACTTCTGCATAACATGTTGAAATTGAACTCTGAATCTGGGAAGGGCGATTATGATAATTGATCATATTCACGTGGTGGGCTAAATTTAGGCTGACATTCTTGTTGTTGGCTTTATTTGAAGCTGTTCATGGATTTGGTTTTGGTTAAATGGAATGTTTGTTGAAAACCATCTATCCTTTTTTCTTTCCTCTCTTCTCTGTCATTCTCTCAATCCAGTAATTGCTGGTCCTACATGAATATTATCTCGGTAATTTTCCCAGCACTAAATTGGTGATTAGATTATTCTCTTTTCTACCTTTGTCTTATTTATTTGGCATCATGATCATGCATATTAGGTTGCAAAGAAAACAGCGCAGAAGAGCAAGACAATATTGACTGACATCGAGAGATGGCAGAAGGTAATTGACATTTAGCTGACCGTGCCATATATTTACTATTATGCATCAAATTTTTTTAAAAAAATTAATCTAAATTTTCTTTTGCAGGGAGTTGCAAGTACTGACGGTAAGTTTTTCCCATGTCTCATGGCTTTTCAATGACTAATTTGATTGTTTCTGTCAGCCATGTCTAGAACACTTTGTTATCATGCTGTATTTTAGATTATTTAATTGTTGACGGCCTGTATTATGGTACTTAATTATTTTTGCTCAGTATTTGGAGTTCCTATTGAGATTACTGTACAGAGGCATGAATCTAACCGACCTGTTCCTCAGATATTGGTCAAATGCGCAGATTATCTTATACTGTCAGGTAGGTAGTTTGAGAGTAAGGCTCTACAATAAATCAGCACTTTTGTTGTTGTTTCAATAATCTTTTTTCACTCATTCTTTGTAGGGTTAAACTCCCCCTATCTCTTTAAATCTGAAGGGGATAAAAAGGTTATTCAACAGTTGGTTTCCTTATATAACCAAGGTGCTGAAGTCATTCTGGTAGCCATTGTTTTTTATTGTAACTTTTACATATGGATGATGGAAATCTGCTGTTACCATTCTGTTACAGATTTAGCTGCATCAGTACCCGAAGGTACAAGCCCAGTTGATGTAGCAGCTCTTGTCAAATATTATCTTGCTAGCCTTCCTGAGCCCCTTACCACACTGGAGCTTTATAATGAGATAAAATGTGCTCGATCCAGTGTGCATTCCATGAGAAACATATTGAAGAAGCTCCCCAGTGTAAATTACATGACTCTAGAGTATGTAACTGCACTGCTCCTTCGTGTGAGCCAGAAGTCACTACTCAATAAGGCAGGAGACATCTCTCTCTCTCTCTCTCGCCCCCTTTCTCTGTGTTTGTCTTATTGTGGGATAAACAGTGGGTCTTACATGTGTTGGGATGTGCCCTTGACTATCTTGTTGGCGTTGCCCTGTGCATAGGAATCCCTGATGGGTAATGTCAGCGAATGGTATTCTATATTATTGTGAAATCCTGTTAATAGACTGAAAAAGAACATTTGTGAGATATTTCTTAACTAGCACCAAACTTATGTTTATTTTCTTCAGAGTATGAAGCGGATCACAATTTTCCGTTTCTGAAATACTGCTACTCTTCTGTTCTTATGTTGTTTTCTTCTTCTTTTAAAGTTTGTAATATTGTTTTCTTAATGTCTGCCAATGGTATTATCCTAGGAACACTACTCACTAAACACCACAGGTTCTGAGGAGACAATCCTATTTCAAAATAAACACATTAAATATCCTTGAAAGAATTTACCCTCTGCACTGGGCTAATTTTCCATCCAATGTGGACAGAAAAAAATTTTCCCATCCAACAGCAAACAGATATTGTACTTTGGGGGCTAGAGAATGTGGTGTATTTGGCAGGAGCAGGATGCCAGAATTTTGAGTAACTGATATATCTTCTGATCTTATTCAAAATAGTGTCATTTGCTAGCCTTGTCCTTTCTGTTAATGCTCTTCTTAAGTGTTTTGGCTTCTGATTTACGCAAGGATTGCAGTATATTTTTTCGTTTTATCCTTTTTGTCCTGCAGTTCTTCGAGAATTTCTTGTGGTTGGTTTCTCTAGCCTTTTCTTCAATGATCTCCAAACTTTCATCAGTCTAAAAGTGTGAAGGAAATAGAACTAGTTTCTTAGATGTATGATTTACTTACCATTTTGATAGTTAGCAGTCTTAGTTTCTCCCTGTAATATGATTATACGAATGGTTTATCATTTCTGGAGTGTTTGACATCCAGTAAATTCTCCCAGCTTTTAGATGCTAGTATCCATCTGATAAGCATGCTCATGACTGTTGACTTTATGCAGATGGATGCTCACAGCCTTGCTATGGAAATGGCACCTGTTATTATGTGGCAAAAGGGGTCGAATCCTGAATTGTATCGTCATTATTGGAATCAATTGTCCAAACGTCCTTCCAACAAGAGCTTGGATCCACCACCTGGTGCTTCCTGGGACATGCTTAATGGTAAGTCAGATGTTGCAAACAAAATCTCTAGAATCTAATTGAGTTGACTGAAATGTTACAATAGCCTATTTATGGTTATACCTATAAGGATTCCAGTTATATAATATGAAACCACCCCTGATGAATTCAGCCTTGGCATGTGATATTCATCTGAAACAGATAGTAAGTTTTATAATTGACAGTGCAACTGATGTATGGCTTGGCTTAAGGAGATGAGATATCAAAACTAGTCTTACATGTTTGAAGCAGATTAATGCTGGTTAGATGCATCGAGTCTTATTGCAAGCTACAGATATTAGGGAGGGGGGAATGCTTAGATTAATATATTCGTGATACTGTTGCGGGGTTTCATCTCAAGCTATGGGAATTTTCAGTGATCATAGAGATTAAATAATTCACGCATTTTTTCATGAACCAGTTTTTCTTTTTGCATGTTACTGAAAATGTTGTGTAAGCAAGCGAAATAAGTTTTTCTCTTTAACTAAAATATGAGTCAGATTTAATTATTTAATATTGCTTTCCTATTTGACTGGTTATACATAGGCTCTTCTTTCATCAGGCGGATAATTTAAAAATCTACATGAAGAAGTGTAATACTTGAATCATGTCGACTCTGAAAATTGCATTCTCATCTTATGTCACAAAGTTAATTTAACACTTAATTTCTTTGGTGCTTATATCAAAATGCCCTTTTCTTATGAAATATATGGTGTGTGGAATTAATTATAATTAGAGATGGCCTTTTTGTCATTTTATTTTAAATCTTGTGTTGCAGATGAGGGTGAGGGCATGGATGCATCCTCTCACATTCCTTTGGACGATGGCACTCCAGTTGACTTTGCTGCGATAGAGGTTGTTCAATACCTAATCGAACATCATAATGCAATTTTCACCGATGCGAATGAAACGGTGTGGAGATGAAAAACACTGACCCTCCTTCTGCACCGGATTCAATGATGTGAATATCATAGCCTCTTTTTTGTTTTCCCCCTCCTTCAACCTTGAAGTTCCTCCCCAAGCTGGTCAAGATCATCAAATTAGAAGCTATATTTTTGAAGTTGGATGAAGATCATCAGTCCGGGGAAGGATTTTGGATGCTGGTGTGGAGGTGAAGTGATGGAGTAATTCTGATTTTCTTAGTTCTCTTGTTTCCAGTCTGGAGTTTCATAGTCTTTTTTGTTTATAGTTGTGCAGGTTTTACTTAAGAAGGAATAAAAAGAAGGGATGTTACTACTTTTCATGTATGTCTTGCTTGAGAAATTGGAGAATTGCACTGATTATCCTGAACAATACATCACTTTGACGTGTTATCGTGGCTTTTTTTCTAGGATTGATAATGATATGTGATTATTGTTCATAGTCAATGAATAGATCGACTGATTTTAGCTGATAATAACGGTCTATTTGGTGCACGTTTTAATAAACATAGATTATCATTTATATCTTGTCTTGGATTTCCAGATTATTACCAGAAAGATGTGTATGTCCATACGATGCATGCGTTCCAAATAATGCGCATGCGATGTAATCTGAAGACCATAATTATTTGCATTGTTCATGGACTTATCATGATTTTATCAGAAAATTATATTATTCTGGGTAGAGAACTTGAAAACAAAGGTGTAAGAAAGTTATGTATTTATTTTTTTTAAATTTTTTGACATTTACAATGGCAACGAGGTATTGCTTAAAATAATCTCTTCATATTTTCGTTATAAACATTGGAACACATGCCTTATATATTTGGACATGCTACTTTGGTCTCTCACCATTGATTTAGGAATATAATTACAGTCTCAAACAAGCGAGTTCTTTGTTAATATTAAAACTTGTCACTTAATGGAGGCACAAATTAGAGGAATGATTTAAGTCACATCCTCACTAACATAACCTTTAAAACTGGAATCAAATGAAGGAACCTTAAGACGCCCAACTTATTGTGGGAGTTTTTTGGATTTACATTTTTCCTTTGAAACTTCATATTAATTCCCCCCCCCCCTGATTTCCTTCTTCACAACTTTTTATCTCAGGATCCGTACTTCTAGTGAGGGATTGTATTTTCTTCAAAAAGTTAAATTTTCTATAGCAAAAGATTTTTCTTTTTATATCATTGCAAAGAAGCAGAGAAATCGAGCTGAGAATGCAACAAAGAGGCTAGACACGAGAGACATGATATCGCTGAAATGATGGTTTATGCATCCAAGTTGCTAAATTCACGTTGTCCAAAACATGTCTATTAGTTGTCAAATCAGCAAGCTTATATTAGGCCATTTGCAGCACAACACGGCATTTTGGGCTGAACTTACACAAGGCATTGAAATTGGAGAGGGAGACAATTGAAGAGTTCATTTTTCTGACGAGTTAGGAAGGTCTTCAAAATAGTCAAATATGTCACTCGGGAAGTCCTCAAAGAAGCCATTTGATGGAATTGAACTCTGAGCAATTCCTCCCAATGCAAGACCTGGCTTCTTGTGCTGCTCGAAAATGTCAAGGAAGGCGGCATCAAACGGCTCCGGATCAAGCAGGCCATGGCAGACCAGGCCATCATCCACTTGGTGGTGGGAGTCATCATGAAGAAGTACCTGAGAAAAAGTGTACTCTGACGAAGAGTCAAATGATGGAACCATGTGAAATGGAGTGGCTTCCTCTGCTTTCACATTCTGAAACTTCAACTCCTTAGTGTCACCAACCATCAGAAACTTGTTTCCTGATGGGTTTTGCTCCACATGATTTGAACTGCATGAAGGAACCTGAAATTCACAATCTTACTTCTAAGTTAGAATCATATCATCATCAGAGAGGCTTAGATCTTCAACATGTATATGATTCTGCCTCAAATATATACCTCTTCAACTACTGGTTGTGGCTGATGAATAGATGTTGCTTTGTTCTTATTATTGTGTGGCTTTGATGATGATGATGATGATGGAGATGGTTTCTGCAACATTCTCTCCAACCTCTTTCTCCTACTGCTCCAGAAATTCTTCACATCATTGTCTGTTCTTCCTTCTAAGTAAGCCGCTATTTTCGCCCACTTGTTCCCAAACTGTGCCTGCAATTCTATCACCACTCTTTCTTCCTCCGCTGAAAACTTGCACCCTCTGAAATTCCAAACAAACACCGCCATAGATTCAGTCTAGCCCATGCATCTTAATCCCACTATTACTTTACAGAACCCAATGACTGAGATCTTCTATTTATGATTGGACTAATAAAATCCCACCACATGTGGTGAATTTGAACTCAGCACACACCACACAAACAAAAACACAAACATGCTATATAATCACTCTCTTAAAAGTCACACACACACACACACACACAAGATAGGACTGGGACATGTGATGATTAAATAACAAGTATATATCAACTTATAGTCTGCGTTTATATGGGTGACTGCAGATAGAATATCAGTTTGGTTTTAAAGTAGGGAGATGATGATTCACAGCACCATTGAAACGAATAGCTTAATCTAAACCAAAAATATATTTTCTCGCCTACCAGACACGTTTCACAGATACCACATAAGACTCACAAGCACGAACACTAAGAGATTCAAATATACGAGATAGGACATGATTAAAATAGAACTTTACTTCATAGTTCATTGCCACTATCTAAAGAAGAAGAAGAAGAAGAGGAAGTTTTCAGTATTATGAGAGACAGTAAGCACAAAGGCAACAACAACGTAGAACACTCGAAGGTTCATGTGCATGTGAGAACAAAGATACCACAAAAATGGTGTCTGTCTTCTTACGTACGTCTTCAAGTTGGGTCTAAGCTTGTTAACCCATCGGAGCCGGCAGGATTTTCCGGTCCGGGGAAGCAACCCTTTGGATCGAATGGAGCTCCAGTCCCTTGGACCGTTTTTCTTGACATGTTTCATCAGAATCTCATCTTCTTCAGCACTCCATGGTCCTTTCTTTATATATGTTCCTCCACCAAACTCTCTCTCCCCATCTTCTTCCTCTTCCGCAAATATTTCTGAGCCTCTCAGTTTCATCTACAAGACACAAGAAAACCCAAAGCTTCTTCCTTCTCTTTCTCAATAAGTGTCTCTCAGAAAGTGCCTTCTGTTTTGTTTCATGGGTGTATGTAACACTATGAAACGGTGCTCGCGATGATATGATCGTGTGTGTTATACGCTTTACAGAATCACGAAACACTTGCGTTTGTATTGGACCATTTTGAAAGAGTGGGACCCGTTAAATTCGTGCCTTTGGTAAATGCTAACGTGGCGGAATATTACGGGATTGTTGTTTTAGTCGGGATGCAGTTGATTGTTGCCCCCCACTATCAGTAGTGACGGTTTTGACGGTTAGTGGGAATATGACAACCCCGCCTTTTACTCTGTTCAAATTAATATGCCCTTTTCTTTTATCATTTTTTTAATAAATTCAAGATTTACTCTGAACTTAAAAGTTGACTGAAATATATATGTATAAATGTTCTAATTAATAAGATATATATACTACCCCCTGTCTTTAATATAAAACCTAGTTAACTAATTTGAAGAGATTAAAAAAATTAATGAAGTTAGTTATTTGTAATAGTAGTTCTTTTCTATAATACCCTTGCTAATCATGTGTATTACTTAAAATTATTATTTGATAGAACCTTTAACATGTGCAACTACAAAAGGACTGATTTTTTTTTTTAAAAAATAAAAGACAGGTAGATTGAAGTTTTATATTTAAGACTAAACTGAAATCAAATTAGTTCTTATATTAAGTACATGATAAGGTATATAAAGCGATTAGATAAATAATAATCCTTTTATTGACCCACAAGGAAAATGATAGACTAATATCGAGTGAATAAAATGGTGTGTGTGTATAAAGATCAAGTCCATATTTCATTACCTTGTCGTCACAAGGACTTTGTTCTTGTTAAACATTTAAAGATGAAATTTAATTTTCTCAAACTTTTCATTAAAACTTGTCGCTTATGTTTAAGGATTTAAGGTGTGTGACCTGAATATGCAAAAGGAACGGAGATAGTGAGAGGATGAAATTAGGATTAAATAATTTTAAATATTTGAAGACTTTGTCCATGGGTAATTTGCACGTATTTTTCATATACAGAGGTTTGCTCTAATTCTATCAAGTCTTTTGGACCCAAAAAATTAACTCCTCCGGTCCTTAATATAAGACCCATTTAATTAATTTGATTAGATTAAGGAAGTTAGGTAAGGGTAGTTAATATAAGAAAAGTGACACATTTTTCCTAAAACAATATAATATAATCTTTCTTAATACCCCTCTCCTTCTTCTATTTGATTATGGTTAAGGAGTATCCATAGGGGTAGGTAATTTAGAGAGAAAATTGAAAAATATGAGAATGAGTCTTATATTTAGGACCAAAACCAACTCAAGAATTGGGTCCTATATAAGGACGGAGGGAGTATTAAGTCTTTGAAAAAATATAGTTATATATTTTCTTTCACATAAGCTAAATCAAGTCATTAAAAAAATGTTAATTTTGACAGTTAGATTGGTTTGGTATGTAGCACTCATATATTATGATGACGTCGTATATAATTTTAAAAAATCGAAGAAGAAACTGTTGAGTAATTAATTATTAGAGAGACATGAAAGGCATTGTGAATGAAGGAGAAAACTTTCTTTCTTTCATTGTAACAGAAGAGCCAAAAAAAACTTGGATCCAGACTTTTCATCAGTGACCACTCTCTTGGTCGCTCTTCTCAATCCCTTCATCCATCATTCTCTTCCAAAACCAGTGTTCATGCCACACCGTCTGCATCTGTTCGATAGGCACATTCTTGGTCTCTGGCAGGAAATAGTACACAAATACACTCATCACCAGCACCCAACCCCCAAAGAAGAAGAAAATCCCAGATTGAAGTGGCAAAGCATGGCCAGAATGTCTGAGCAACAATGAAAGTGAAGAGGAAGCTCACTGCCACTGTGATGCTTTGCCCAGCAGATCGAATCTCCAATGGAAAAATCTCACTCGGTACTAACCACCCCAATGGCCCCCATGACCATCCAAATCCAGCAACATATATGCATATCATCACCAAAACCAAGTAAGCATACCCTTTGCTCAATCCTCCATTATCTTTTAGATAAGCTGCCATTATCCCTCCTACTATACTCTGAGATGCTAACATCTGAATGCCTCCTATGGCAAACAAGGTTCTCCGGCCAAATTTGTCAACAACAAGCATTGATATGAAGGTCGAGCCAGTGCCCACAATGCCAGTCATGGCAGCAGACAAGAGGGAAGCACTTACACCTAACCCTAGTGTTCTGAAAAGCAAAGGGGCGTAGAAGGCTATGACATTGATCCCTGTCACTTGCTGGAAAAACGGTATTGCTACTGCCATTACAAGTTGAGGTCTGTATTTTCGTTTCAGGATAAGCTTGAATGAGTGATCAGTGTTTTTTGATGTTGAACTTGCTTTGATGAGACCATCA